CTTTGATCATTCAGTCTTTGAACTTTAACCTTTGACTGGAAGTGACCTATAGGCAATGAAGACTACTTCCTTTTACTGCATTTTTACTTGTGTGCATTCTGGGCGCATGTTGATCGCTGGTTCAGTCCACGCAACTGACATGCTTTTTATTAGTCATACAGTATTAATGCAGGTGTCAGGAAATGTCAAATATAATTCCATTTTTAATTTTTTTTTAAGTTTATGGAAAAGTTCCAGGTCCTCATGTATTGTGCAATAACAATGATTTCCTTGGTGGTTTTGGTTCGTCCATTGCCGGCAATGGGCATTGTAACAGGAAAAGTTTTAATTAATTCCTGCCACTCAATGATTAATGCATGATAGGGCCTAAGAGGTGAATTTACTGGTTATAGTGGGATTATAATTAAAGTGAGGGATCCAGTATTACTTTGAAAGTCACCCCAATTGCTTATATTTGGATTCTATGCACTGTGATCCTAAGGTTAGCAGCATGAATTAACATGCGTCTTTAAAGGACTGTAATAGAAGATCATTGCGTATTTATTCGTTTATATCTGCTGTCAAATTGTTTTGACATGGAAGGTTTTCATGTGACATTAGCAGAGAGGTACAGTATGTTATCCCTATGGTGAAAATAAATTCATTTGTTGTATATAGTTCCTCAATCTCTGAAGTAAAGGTATGAGTAAAATAAGGTATGAATGGTTTAAAATCAAGGCTTTTCTTTGGAAGCAAGAAAAAACGGCAGTGATGATTAAGTTGCTGCAGTCCATCATTTGGGCTTGTTATTTGTACATTAAAGATTTTTTTCCAAGTAGATTACACTCTTGTTACTTCCTGCTAGCCATCAGCATGAGCCCTACTGCCTAAACACTATTTCATTTATTTATGTTTGAAAGATCCATAAATATTTTTGTTTGCAATTTTGTTTCTTTTGTTATGTTTTAAGTCAAGTTTGAATGTTATAGTACTTTAATTGAAAAACTTTTGTCAAATTTTTTTCTTGTAAGTTTTCTTTACTTGTAAGTATCATCTTGTCCTTCAATCCTGTACCCTAAAATAAGAAATACATTTTTGACAGAGGATTAATGTTTTAACAAAAGAGTGTGGACATTTTTATTTTAAAATTTAGGCAAAATACACTATAAAATGGTATGTTTGCTTATTTGTCTCACATAGCCATACAGTTTTTCATACAGGAATTTGTTTTGTTTTTGTTTTCTTGTTGTTAATACTTTGCTTACATCTAGATAAAAATTTTCTCTTAAAAAAAATGTTCAAAGATACCATTCTCAGTACCATGAAAGTTAGTGATACTACAGCTAGGTTCTCTTTTTAAAAAGCGATTAATGTATTTTATAAATTACCTTTTCACATATGCAAAATCTGTTTCTACTAATGTTATTTTTACTAATGCCTTACTGTTGCACTCTTTTTGAAATATCCAGCAGTGAATATATTAATTGAATTGGGTTTAAAAAGCCCAGTTTGCTCAAAGGTCTGAAGTATGTACCCCAGTAAAACAACACAATCAATAATTGGTAAAGAATATTTTAAAATTGTTTTTAATCTCTGTATAGATGGCATTTTGTAGCTTTTTACATGTTGTCAATTAAGGGCATACAATTTTACACTCTAAAAGTATAATTGCTGAACTCAGGGGTGGGTAGACTTCAAAAATATGTCTGCTGTAGAAATAACTTGAAGAAGAAAATTAAAACCATGGCCAGCCACCAAATTGTGGACACTCTGCATACTGCTAGTTAGCAACTAATGCTTTTTAAAAATTATAAACATTTTTGTTCTATGTTAACTAGATATACCTGTTTTCACAGTTTTCTCTGTCAGTTTAACCTGTTTAACCTTGATAGAAAAATCTCTGAAATATTTTTAGTTTTTATCTGCCTTTAATATGAAAATTGCAGCTGTAAATTATATGTATTTTCGTATTTTTACATAACTGCTCAAAACTACTGATTAACTTGATCTTTTCTGGGATGGGGCCAGGAGGAAATGTCCATATCGCTGTTCCTCTTACTAAATGAAATGACCTGTGACTTTTTTTTCACCAAAGGAATTGATAAGCCAGGTCAAAGAGTAACACTGCTGTACTATGGATTAATAGATCATATAAAGCCTCAGTTGAATTTTTTTATAATAGTGTTTTTTTTTTTTAACATACCTCTCTAAATACAGATAGCATAAAATAAAAGTGGAGGAAAAAAACAATTTTGGTACATTTTATGGTTTAAAGAGAAGAAAATCATTTATGGTTGAAAGAGAAAAGCACCAACCATTCAAAATTCATAATTAGATTAACATTATGCCCTTAAATTTATGAGTCACTGAAAACTCTTTTGCACTTAAACTTAATTATTTATATGTAAAGTACATTATTAAAAAAATAAGATGTTTCATTGCTCTGCAGAGGGCAAGTTATGACTTCATAATAAGAAAAAATATTTCTCTGTAATGTGTTGTTGAAAGACAACCAGAATACCAAGAAATGTACATAGGAGTATGTTACTTCCCTCTTCCTTGCATTATGTTTTCAAATGCAGAAGATATGCACTCACGCGCGCTCTCTCTTTCTCCCCCTCCCTCCCCCTTCTCCCTCCCCTCCCTTTCCCTCTTCTTCTCTCCCCCTCCCTCCCTCTCT